TGAAGTGACAATATTTTTTTTAAATATACCTAGAATCCACCTAAAGGTGAGTGCAGACTGCGAAACAATAAAGAAGACTAGGAATGAAGAAATGAATATCTCACAGCCTGATTTACTATACTCTTATTTAAAGAGCTATTTTGCGAGCCAGTAGTAAATTAAACATACAAATGACTTTTATTTATGTATTTTATAATCTATATTGAAAAAAAAATACATTTCTATTTCTTTTACTGCAGTCTGGAGTATGTACTGCAGTTTGACGGCAGAAATTTGTAAGGAAGTTGAACTTAACCACCAAACTCCTACCTAGACAGAAAAGAAGTCTTTCTAGATAGTAAAATTACTGTTTCTAATTACTTCTTCTTTTCAATAATTCTAAGTTCTGTTTTAAAAAATGTAATTTGATAAATCGACCTTTACTAAAAATATTTAATGAACAAAACTATTTTATGCTGTTTTATCTTTTCTTATTGCATTCCCCAATATATGTATATGAATGTATGAGTGTATGTTAAAAAATTGGCGTTTAGCTCTTTTTTTTATAGAATAAGGGTGACAAATGAGCACTCAGTCCACCTGATGGTAAGTGGATGCTGTGGCCCATAGACATCTACATTTATCATTGATTAAGAATCAAAGTGGAGATGCGTTGTCACCACTGAGGACTTTGATGGAATGCCTCATATCCAGTTATAGATCTCCAGTTCTCTACACTCACTGTACGAAACACAGCAGCCGTAAGCTGCTATTTTATGCTGGTATTTTTGACAGTGTGGTCCTACTCTGGTCGAGCCAACCCATTCATGCTACAACTAATATAGCTGCAGTGTAGCTTTACCACATATAAATTTGGGGACTTGTATGATATGCATGCCATAGTTGCCACACGTGGCAGGCGGGTTGGCAACTGCAGTTATTTTAATAGTTGGTATTAGGAAGATGCTGCTACCCATGTCCTAGTTTTTTTCTATCTATCACCTGTTATGACACGGGATGATATGGAATAGTGGATATTACTATTATTTGGTGAGAATAATCACAGATGAACTATTTTAATTGTTTACTGTTTACTTATACAAACAATGAATGTTGTTTACGATTGACATAGTTCAAAATAAATTATATTCAATATGTATTTAAGATGAAGGAAGCAAAGGGTGGACTTAATATCTATTAGTATTCTATGGAGGTTATAGAAAAAATTGTTAGTAGGTGCAAACTTCATCATTATCATCACTATGATTGGTTGGATAAAATGATAGGTTGCACAAAAGCCTTCCCCAATTATCGCTAACAATGCACAAAGTAAACAATGGGCCACCTGCATTTATCAATGTTTGTGGGTATGGGGGTATTATAATACTACATTGCTTTTACTGACAGGAGGCTGTCACTCAAGAACATCCTTGTCCCATTTGTTGTCAGTTTGTCAAGATATATGATTGCAATTGATCCATTGTGCATTGAGCACAATTCATTCTATTACCATCCATGGGACAGATGGATTTTACAGCATGGGCCAAGAGATTCCACACTTCCCCTTATGACCAACACAAATGAACCATAACTTTTTTCAATAAAGTAATACACATTGGTTGCTACATTGTGTAGTAGTTGTTACATCAGTACCAGAAAGAGAATTTAATATCTGTTACAAATACCTCCAATAGAAAAAGTACCTTTAAAGCATTGTATCCAATGGAAGTACTATTGGATTTTATTTTTTATTTATTTCAAGCACACGGTTAAAAAAATCCTAAACCTCCTATCAAGTTTAGAGATAACTAATTGGCTAGTGAAGCAAGTGTAAATAATTTCAAACTCAAATTGTGTGTCCATTTCATGTTTTACAAAAAACATAAATCATTGTAATTATTGTACCTATTTACTAAGAAAATAATTGTGTAAAACTTACATTATGTTTAAAATCAAATCATAAATGACTAATTATAGTCACACTAATCATTCCGCAATAACTTTGCACAAGCGTACTCACACAATTTAAAATAACCTTTTATGTAAATCCGAAGAATTATGAAGTAATCTACATTTCATTACAACGTGTATGGTTTTTTATCACTAATTAAAATTTGAATTTTTCAAACAAAGCAAAATATTAAAAAATAACCAGTATTAACTTTTTTTTACTTGACGTCGTTTCAATGACATGTCGCTATGTTTAATACCGTAGTGTTTGGATGATTAAAATTAATTGTTAAGCGAATAATCGGCAAAATAATTAAATAATCGGTAAAAATATTCTAATAATCGAATCATTAAATTCTTAAATGTAAAAATTCTTTAATTACATGAATCATGTAATTAAAGAATTTTTACATTTAAGAAAAAGAGCCGTGGTAGCTCAGATGGTTAACGCTCGCTGTAAATATAACAGAACGCGAGTAACCCAGGTTCGAGCCCCGCCGGCACCAATGAAATTGTTAATTGCAATTTTAAGTGCTGATTTACCACGTGCTCGGCGGTGAAGGAAAACATCGTGAGGAAACCTGCATGTCTGAGGAATAAGAAAAAAAAATATTTCGAAGACATGTGAAGTTCGCCAACACGCATTGGGGCAGCGCGGCGGACACTTCCTTGCCCTAAAACCCCCTCAGAAATGAGGGGGAGACCTGTGCCCAGCAGTGGGACGTATATGGGCTGTAACTTTACATGAATCATGAATAAAACAAGTTTATTTTTTTTTCACTTTGTCAAAGTAAATTTTTGTAGGCAAAAAACTCATATACAAGGCCGTGCTAAAATAACCACTACATAATTTCAATATCCCGCCATTTTGATACCAGTTACTCGACTCCACAGAATCAGTGATTCATTTTTGAGGCGATGTATACGCTTTTATAACAAAATGCCAGAAAATATACACAATTTGACGCAAGTACACATAGTTTAAAAACTTTATTTAAGTTTGTATAAAGAGGGTTATTTTAATTCTAAGGAATTTATGGATGATAATAAGCCCTGAGAAGGGTGATCGCTACCAAGATATTTATAATTTGTTTTGTGTTGTTAATTGTAACACTCATGATTGTAAGCTCTTATTTAAAAAGAACCTAGTCCCGTTGGGTTTCTTGCTTGGTAAATGAAAAAAGTGATTTTCAATAAGTATTATTCAAAATCTACATTAAAAAAAGTTTCTGTTTCTGTTTCGAGAGCTTGCTGTGCGTGATTTTGTGATTTTATGTTTGTTTTCTTATTTTGTGACTCGGTTTTAACTTTTTGGACTGTTTCTTCTATAATAACTTTTTGTACGTGGTAGAGCCAGGCTACATCTATATATAGTTGTAGCACGAATGGGTCGGCTCAACCAGGGCACAACCACGCTCTCACAAAATACCAGCGTAAAATAGCAGCGTAATGATGATGTGTTTCATATGGTGAATGTAGAGAACTGGAGACCCTTTTTACTGGAATCGAGGCATTCCATCTTAGTTCTCAGGGGTGACAACGCATTTGCATTTTGATTCCTAATTGAGGATAAATGTGTATGTCTATGGGCCATAGCATCCACTCACCATCAGGTGGACTATGTGCTCGTTTGTCACCCAATGCTATAAAAAAATTCGTTGAAGCATGTGCCCATGTCACAAAGGATGATTGGCCAAAAGTGGAATTATGGATAACTTTGAAAGAGACATTAATTTTGACTGCATTATTGAAATCTCAAAAATCAAATAATAATAATTAATATAAACAATGACACGCCTACTAGTCGTACTGAAAGTGGTTGAATAAATTTATTTTGAATCCAGTTTCAATCTTAAATTTTTATAACTGTGCCTCTAGAAATAAGCAGTAACAACAAATACGAAGAAACTGAACTAAATCTTGTGTTTTAAATTATCCGTTTTTAATTTATTCTGGTATTATTTAAACCAAACTGTAAATGATTATTAACTCTAAATAACTGATATTGATTCTAATTTATTCTGGTATCTATTATTATTATTATTATTACAAACCAAACTGTAAATGATTACCCAACTCTAAGTAATCGATATCGATTTTCTTTTTATCGAATATTTTACGTTCCCATTTTTTGGTTGGCATACTTGGTGCAATAAGTCTGACAGCTGTCAAAATGTATTTCTTAGATTTGGTTGACTATAAGTATAATTGATAGCCTGACTAACAAATTGATGACAGCAAAGTAGAAACAGACATCTGCATTTTATGAAAATGATTTTTTTACAAAAATGAGCTTATATCAACCTTATCTATATACAGACTGTATTAAAATTATATCAAATTTCAAAATAATGAAGAAAACCTGGCACGTAAATGAAGACATCTACACTCAATTTAAAAAAAAACATCACAGTAGAAATGGACATTTGAATTTGTCCACCTTTAAAAAAAATATTTTATAAATACAATTTGAATGAGAGATCAGCCATGTGTATTGACAGTTCCAAGAGGAAAAGGAGATGATTTTTGCAAGGCAATAATAATACACAAAAACTTGAAAATGTTTATGGCAAGACTTTTCCCAATACTACAGCTAAATACAAGGACTTAATGACTTTCTGTCAATAAAATTTTATCCCACCAAGATACCATGATTTTTACAAAAATAATAAGCATTACAGCGCCAAGGAAGAATCAGAAGCTGCTGATGGCACTGAATTCGGACAGTTACTTCAGTTTTTATACCTAATCATTAAAGTTTTAATCTGTGTTTTCTTACTAGAAGTAGTAAGAATAATTATAATGTTGATATTGCTAAGTTTAAATATTGTTTTGTTTTGTGTTTCCTTTTAATTTTATATCAGTCAACTTGCCAATGGTACCTTTGATAATAAATAAAACATAATAAAATATTCCATTTTTAATTAAAAAATATATATTTAACATGTTTTGGGAACTAAATAAATGAGTTAAACTTATAGACATAGATGGAGTTTAGTGATAGATAACTCATTATTGACAATGTATAAAATGTAAAGTGCAAAGTAAATAAAAAAATCTGCAAAATTTCTTCAAAAAAGGGGAATACTATTTGCATGTTGCTTAGATTTTCTATAAATATCCCTAAAAGTATTAATGGAGATTATTATCTCAAGTTATTAGATATTTGAAATGAAATGGACTCTTTTTTATCACAATGTTTAAACAGATATCAGACAGATGTCTTCTTCAACGTCCAAGTTTTTTCAGGGTAAAAAAATAACATATTAATTATTTCATTAAAACAACGAAATAGCAATAAAACCTGTTGCATAATTCATAAAGATTGTTACTTTAATGCATCATAGAAAATTTCATGTTAATCGATCCATAACTCAAAATGACCACAATTTTTTACTGTATCTGCTCTCCTGCAAAATCACAATTTTGTAGATATACGTTTCTACTTCGCTGCCATCGAAATGTTGTTTGACTTTATAGGTAAATATGTATTATGTACCAACAATATTTTTGGATATTAAAAGCATTAATGAAGTTATGATATGTACATAAAGTTAACAATGTATAGCATAATTTCAATTAGAAAATATTAAATAACTCTAGTAATACTTAAAATCAACACTATATTACTTATAATTTTTTATTATTCAACAGCAGCATTATGATTCATGAATTGCAGCTTGTATAAAATAAATGTACAGCTATAGATTATATATTAGTTAAGATATAAATATAGGTTTGACTTTTAATGAATTTCTTAAAAACACATTAACTTTTGTTAAAATTTGCTAAATGACTGTACATAGATGTATGATCACAACTATTTAGAGTAGTGCATAAATAACAAAAGTAATTGTAAATTGTAATGTATCATGTATTATTATTTTAATATACCTAAATCCTTTTTTCTGTTAATGTCAAACAAAAGTAGTTATAAGTACCATAAAGAAGAAAATGTAACTTTTGAGCTTGTAATGTGTACTCAGGTATTTCAGAAATTAAGAAAAAAATTCTTACTAACCAAGCAATAGCAGTTTGAGTTCTCTTCTGGCATCGCGTTTGTCCTTTCGGAGTTGCCGCTCTATCTCCTGGTTGATTCTTTTTTGTTCTTTGGCTTCTTCTGATATGCAGCAGTCCATGTTTCCTCAGAGCGGAGGGCCGCGGACCGTCCTCGCGCGGGGAGCCCTGTCCTTTCGGCAGGCCTTTCAACCGAGGCACACCACTCCTAAAAATTACATATTATTACACTCACTAAATCACGGGCCTACCAATCCTCGGCCGAATACACAATCGCTCACAATATTCACGTACCAACACGACAGCGCGCGAACAATCATCCGAACTAGAACCTAATAAATACTAAAAACCGACAATACGGTCACTGGGTGTGGTGACTTATGATCGGTCATATACATATACGCTTCTGTCAACTGCCGACATAAACACTTCGAAATCCGTTTATATACGAGTGTGGAACCTTGTGAAGCGATCGTATAATCTTATTAATGTAACTAGATTCAAGAAACCTACGGTTACTCCCCGCACGTGTGTAATAATATGATTAAAACTGTGAGCAAACAGCGGATTGACGATACCTAGGTAATCTACTGATAACTAGAACGGCCTATGTCTAGGTTACGATGTTACTTCCCAAGGCCTTTCTTTTAAGAAAAGACACAAACGAGACACATTTTATACACATTACGTACCCAAATATATATCCATAGGGCACGATCAAGTTTTCCACTTCAATTTATTGCACTAACCACGATTTTAATCACTCAAGTCATATAACGTCCGCCTCTCTCAATATGGCGCTGGGAGATTTTGGGCGATGGGAGTTCTGCGCGTGCGTCGTACGAGTATTAGGGAATAGAAAATAGGGTAATGGAAATTGAATCAAATTACGTAAAAATTCAATAAATAAATAAAATTAGCTAATTAAAAAATATAATTAATCAAATATGAAAATTAAAATTTTAATTTCCATTTCATGTTCATCGAAATATAACAAATGACAGCCAAAGTGACAAACTGTCAGAACTGTCAGTGTAGCGTAATAAAATGTCAATTTAATGTTATCATTCAATCAATACGTACGTCAATAAAAATTAACTTAAATCTAATCGAACATTCAGTTTTCTATTATTATTTCGTCTGATACTATTTATTATCCACTGCATATAATTATACAAATACAGTTCCCAAACACAAAAATTAAACTGTTTCTCTGATGACAAGTTGTTTGATTTCATGTATGGGTCAACTCTAGTTACTAACTCGGTTCAACTTGAGTTGCGCTTAACTTGAGTAAACTCGAGTTGGATCTCCCTAACTTGAGTTCGAGTTGGCTGTACATGAACGAATCAAGCGAGCCAGTGAAAGAGTATAGCGCGCCAGAGCGTGATCGTTCGTTGTGTGCGGGCTTTATGTTCCCGCCTTCCCGCCATAGTGAATTAGTGAATCGAATAAACGACACCCACGATTATACTTGTTATATATAGGTATAGTCAACCAAATCTATATAATATCTTATAAGAAATACATTTTGACAGCTGTCAGACTTATTGCACCAAGCATGCCAACCAAAAAATCGGAATGTACAAAATTCGATAAAAAGAAAATCGATATCGATTACTTAGAGTTGGGTAATCATTTACAGTTTGGTTTGTAATAATAATAATAATAATAATAAAGCGGCGTAGGGAAGTGACGACCCCATCGCCCGCTGACGTAACAGTTATGTGACAAAACTGCTACGTCGGCGCAGTCAGTCAGCATCCTGCCAAGAGGTGTGAGCGCCGTGCCTAGGCAAAATTGTAGGTGCAAAGGTCCGTTTGTGCATATGACCCAACCACGAAACGGTGCCGGGTTTGGGCGTCTCCCGTTATTTGGCGCCCATAAAATGGATGATGGCACAAAGAGGAACGCGCATAGGGCCGCTGCCTGGGGGTCGCCGGGGCGCGTCTGGAGCTGGCGCTGGACGCGGCAGCATGCGGGCCGCCAGCCGAGCGCGAGGAGCTGCACGATCACTTAGCAGCCCCTCGCATCCATCATCCCCACCAGAAGGCTTGGTGTCGGCTGGGTCTTCTCGGACTCAGCAAGCGGCACCCGCCGCTGGTGGAGCACGTCGCATGCGTTGGACAAAACCTATGAATGAAAACGCATTGCGGGCGTACTATAGGGCGAAAGGGGAAGAAACTGTGGGAATAGCGTATAGGTCTCGGATGCATTGCTTTTTTGCTGAGCTGGAGCCTTCTACCCCCGTCACGGAACAAAACCTGGCAGACCGAGTTCGGTACATCATGCGCTCGAAAATATTTGATGATGCCGAACTCGGACGACTACGACGTGAGGCTATTCCGTCGTCGAATGAATCGGCTATGGCTGGAGATGCAGCTCCACATTCGACAGACCAGCATCCACACGTGGAAGCCGCCCTGGATCTTCCCGTTGTGGTTGATTCGAACGACGATGAAATAGTCTCCCACGAACTAGAGAAAATGAGGAGTATACTGGAAGAGGCGATTTTGGAAACGCGCAGCACCCCTATCGAAAATCGACCGCGACTTCCCCCGCATACCCCTAAGCAAGCGAAATCGGGCTGTCGTGAGGGCTCTTAACCCAATGCTGGTGACCTATTTGGAAGCCAGCCGGGACCTTTGCGAGACGGACTCAATTCTCTTTGGCGCCGCAGTGGCAGTTTGCCGTATTATTGGCGCCAAACTTCCCATGGCTGGACGCGCTACTACACAAAGTAGCGCCATCCCAGCCTGGAGAAAAAGAATCGAGGACCGTATCGCAAAGGCAAGGGCCCTTATCGGCAGACTGACAAGCTTCAGGTCGGGTAATAATAGACCGAGGATTATGCGCACCGTTAGGATGGCGTTTGCTGGGACAAATATCAGTTTGTCCCAGCCGGATATCACGCAGAAACTAACGGAGCGCATAGACGACCTGAAGCAAAAGATCGCTGCTTGGGGGAAGCGGATTCGACGATTTACCGACAGGTCAAGGCGGTTCAACCAGAATCGTCTCTTCCAGAGTGATCAGAAGAGGCTCTATAAATCATTGGAGCGGCCAAAGGTATGTGGAGCGGGCCAAGGACCGGATCAGGCAGACATTATCGCATTCTGGCGTGGCCTGTGGTCAGAGCCCGTAAACCACAGCGAGGGCCCTTGGATGGAAGTTGTGGCGAGCCAGGGTGCGAGTGTTACGCCTATGGACCCCATCACCGTAACGCCGGAAGACGTGGCTGAGGCGGTCCGTAGGGCCCCGAACTGGAAAAGTCCGGGGCTCGACGGGCTGCATCATTACTGGCTGAAGGGGTTCATAGTGTGTCACGCTGTGCTCGCCCGACAGTTTCAAGAGGCTCTCGACCAGAAGTCGCTCCCGAGCCTCTTCACTACTGGGATCACTCACTTGGTTCCTAAAGATCAGGATACCACAGACCCGAGCAAATACCGCCCCATCACGTGTCTACCCACCATATATAAGACACTGACATCCATTTTGAGCGCGAGAATCACTCGGCACCTGGAGCTAAACCAGTTGATGTCACGCGCTCAAAATGGATGTCGGGGCGGTGGTCGTGGAATCAAGGAACCACTCCTCATTGACGCGGTCATTGGCAAAGTGGTGAAACGCAACCGTCGGAACTTCTCTGCCGCCTGGATAGACTATAGAAAGGCATTCGACTCGGTGCCCCATACATGGCTAAAGAGGGTCCTCGAGCTGTACAAGATTGACTGTACAGTTAGAGACTTCCTCGAGCAGTGTATGGGGCAGTGGAGTACGATCCTTTGTCATCTGGGCGAGCGGATGATGGCTGCGGAGAACCACATAAGGATAAGAAGGGGTATCTTCCAGGGCGATTGTCTGAGTCCAATCTGGTTCTGCCTCTCTCTAAACCCTCTCAGTACCTTACTGGAGGGCTCCGGGAGGGGATTTCAGCTACGGAGAGGAGGGACAAAAGTGACCCACCTTTTCTATATGGATGACCTCAAGTTATTCGCCTCCAGTCGCTCCCATCTTATGGAACTGCTAAACATCACTTGTGAATTTAGCAGTTCCATTGGAATGGAGCTGGGGACGGATAAGTGTGCGGTCCTCCATGTTGAGAGGGGAAGGGTTGCTAACTCTGAGGGCATAGACTTGTCTATGCCCGTCAACTTAAGGACCCTTTCCGAGGCTGAAACATACCGATACCTGGGTATGTCACAGAACATCGGTATCGATGAGGCTGGTATGAAACAGTCAGTTTGCGACGTGTTTTATGCACGCTTGACCAAAGTGCTTAACAGCCTTTTGTCCGGTGTGAATAAGTCACACGCATATAATTGCTGGGTCATGCCTGTCCTCATGTATACCTTTGGCATACTCAGGTGGACTCAGACTGAGCTTAACGCCCTGGATAGAAAAGTCCGCACTACCATGACGTCCCATAGGATGCATCATCCGAGATCGTCGGTAATGAGGCTGTACTTGCCGCGAAAGCATGGTGGGCGTGGCTTTCTGAGCGCGCTCACCATGCATAATCGCGAAGTGTGCAGTCTCCGTCAATACTTCTTGACGAGATCGGATGATCCATTCTATAATGACGTCATTTCTAGTGATAAAGGGCTTACCCCTCTATCCTTAGCCAACGAGCAATGGCAGGACCCGGCAGTGCTTAGCATTCCCGACCGGGAGACCGTATGGAAGGAGAAGGAGCTCCACGGGAGGTACTACAAGGCTCTACATGAGCCCTTCGTAGATACAGTCGCCTCCCTCAACTGGCTACGTTTCGGTGACCTTTTCGGGGGAAACCGAGGGTTTTGTCTGTGCAATACAAGATCAGGTTATTAAGACCAACAACTATCGGAGATACATCCTAAAGGATGGCACCGTCGACGTCTGTCGAGCTTGTCGCCATCCCGGGGAGTCACTTAGGCATGTCATCTCCGGTTGTTCGGCGCTTTCTAACTCTGAGTACTTGCACAGGCACAACCTAGTAGCCAGAATTCTACACCAGGAGCTCGCTCTGAAATACGGTCTCGTGGACCGGAAAGTGCCGTATTACAAGTACTTGCCGGAAGCCGTGCTCGAAAATGACCGCGCCAGGCTCTACTGGGACCGGGCCATCATCACAGACAGGACTATTCTTGCGAATAAACCTGATATTGTGCTGATGGACCGGGCACAGTCAAGAATATTTTTGGTCGATATTACCATCCCGTATGACGAGAACCTCGTGAAAGCCGAAACAGATAAGCAATCAAAGTATCTGGACCTGGCTCACGAGGTGACCGACATGTGGGGTGGTATGCCGACCGAAATTATTCCTGTAGTCGTCTCT